CATTGTTATTCTTGTGATTTCAGTTTGCTTTCGGTATAAACGGAAAGTCCCTATTATATTTAGTTTGTTATTGATAAACTTGAAATAATAAAATACAATGCAAAACAAAATTCTTCTGTTGATTCCAAAAGGAGTCAAGTTCAGTGAAAAAAAGTAATTCTGAAATTCCATTTTCTTTTTAATCTTAGAACACATACATGTATGATGGAAAGTTATCAACTTCACTCACTGACAATAGTAATAGCTAAGCCATTGTGATAGTCTCCAAGCATTTGAGTAAGACATGGTCATAAATGTTATGGAAATTCCTTTTTTTTAAGTCAGATGATAGAAGTAAAAGTGATTTATGAAAATACAACTATAAATGTATGAACAGTGGTTTGCAGATGCTACGGAAACATTCTACTTGGTAGTAGGTAGTAAATCGAAAGGAACAGGATCATTCCAAGCCCTCCCAATAGAATATACTGTATCAAACCAAGGAATTCAAACTGGATTTCAGTTTAATTCAGTTTCTAGACAGTCCAAACCGCAACATAAGTGCTTAACTAATGATGTTACATTTGGATGTGACAGTCAAATCAAAGTGAACAAAATTTTGCTTATATATTTTATCTGTTTAGTATGTTTACAAAATAAAACTAAAATGTTCTATTCTAAGTATGTTTTGGTTTGGCGAAGATAGCTTAAAGATTTCAAGGTAATATCAGTTGTAGTTTTGGCAACAGCACATATTTTTTATTTAATGTTTTAGGTCTTTAGCTATTGCATTTTACATATGTATATGTTTTTTAGAGTAATTAATGGTTACTTATCACTTAATGTTGATTTTGATAAGTAATTTATGTTTGATTTTAGACAATCCTGTTATCTACCTACACATTTATGCCAAAATTTTAGGTTACAGCACTTAACAAACTTACATGAATATGATGGAGATTCGCATTAACCAATTCAGCCGCCAAACGAACTTCTTCAAGGGCCCTTTTGCGGTGACTTATATTGGAAGTGTGGGACACATCCAACACACAGGCTATATCCATTCGAGGCCGTTGGTTCGAACCTCCTGGTTGAACAGTGGCATTCGAACTATCGCTACAAACACTTTCACAGATGCTTCTGACTTCGCCTAAAATTTATTTCGAAATCAAAACAAAACTTCAAAACAAAGTTAATTTGAAAACAATTTCCACTGTACGAACCTGTATCCTCCAGCGCTGAGGAAGCGTTTGTACCGCTGAAGGTTATCATTTTCTCACGTATTTATTATCATTTGGACGGTATAAACATAAATTTCATGCTTTAATTTACGCAGCACAAAAAATAAATTCCACAAACAAGCACTACGGGTCCTCGGCTTATGTTATTTAATATTAGTGATGCCCTACTCACTCGAACTTGGCGTACGCGTAGTTTATATATTAGGTACTCTGTGGGTAATACAAAACTATCAGTAGATGTTCGACATCCAAAGCTTCAACGAACCCTGTATTATTGGGGAACGACTTACATGTCAATATTTAATCAAACAATGCAGGTAAACATTTGTACAGTTGTAGTTGTAGTTAATTACCAATATTGTACTCACTTCTGTCGTAGAACTGACGATCACCCTCTACTCCAGGCCTCTGGACTAGAGACAGCGCAGCGGAAAACGTAACGTGGGATGCTCCCTGGCTAGGTGATACAATTACCTCCCAAGAGTGGCCGGCAAGAGGTGGATGAAGAGAGCCGAAGACTGAGCTCAGTGGTGTAGATTGCGAGAGGCCTACGTCCAGCAGTGAACGACCGTGGGCTGATGATGGTGATGATGAACAACTACTGTGTACGCAGTTAAACTCAGCTTACTCTTCTAATTCGATTAAGCAACACTTCGCAATAAATAGAATATATCTATGTACTTCTTTTTTTCCACCTTATCCCACTAGGTGGGGTCGGCACAGCTAATTTTTCTCTTCCATTCTCTTCTATCAGCCGTCATCTCAACACTCACTCCTCTCTCTCTCATATCGTCATTCACACACTCAATCCATGTCTTCTTCGGTCGACCTCTTCCCCCTCTACCTTGCACTACCATTTCCATACATCTCTATACATAATATATGTATGTACGACGGTGGTAAAAGCTAGCTTGAACCCAAAATAAGTTTACCAGTTCAATGAAAGTTTAAAAAAAACGCTAAAAGTGATGGGCAGACGCATTTATGCCAGTGGTTTGACTGATAATATGAGTATCAGTGATTATCTAACATCAGGTAGGCCGTGGTTTCATCTGCCTTTTAAGGGAATAAATAAAATTAAGTAGGTGAGTCAAATGATTGTAATTTAAATTGTCCACTATTAAGTGTCCTATTATGATTAATAATAGTTTTGTTGATTAAAATACATCACTAGCGGGACCTTGAATGTAATTGACATTTTAACGCCATCTAGTAGCAACTATGAGCGTTTTTAAGCCTGACTGAGAAATGTTTTGTTTACAATATTAAATTTAGTACTTATATAAAACACAAGATGACGCATAAAAGAAAGAAATCAAATCTAATTAAGTTTTTTGGGACACGAAGCAGAAGTATGTAATTATATTATTTTAATTAAATATTGTAATAAAAACGACCATACATGATATTTCAAATTTTTGTTTACAAATAAGATTGATTTAAGTGCGTGTTAATAATATTAACTTAATCTGTAGCAATAGTGACTTTATTTATTAAATATATCATTTACGAGGGCGGCACTGAAAATTTCGGGAATTAACGAAGTGACACAACATTACTATTTAAAAATGTATTTATTGCTATTCGAAGTATTCTCCGCGAAATTTGACACATTTTTCCATACGATGGAACCAATCATTGAAGCAACCATTCCATTCGGAAGTTGGGGTCTCCAAAATGGCCGTTTTGTAGGCGTCCACAGCCTCTTCAGGTGTATGAAAATCTCTGTCCACGCAATTTATTCTTTATTTTAGGGAAAGTATAGAAATTATTAGGGCTTAGGTCGGGGCTGTACGGCGGATGGTCTAATAATTCTATGTTTTCTTGCTCTAAAAACTCTTTTGTTTGTGCGCGGTGTGAGAACTCGCATTGTCGTGATGGAGGATGATGCGGCGGTTGCAGTTCTCTTTACGGAGTTCAGAAACGACCTGTGGCAAACAAATGCTAGCATACCATTCTGCATTAACCGTTCTTTGTCCCTCAAGAGGAATAGTCGTAACATGGCCGGTTTTGGAGACAAACGTGGCCACCATTTTTTTTGCAACANGACTACCAGTTTGTATATCAATGATATACCCCGGTCTCCGGAGACCCATCTGGCGTTCTTCGCCGATGACACCGCCATCTACTACTCGTGTAGGAAGAAGGCGTTGCTTCATCGACGACTTCAGACCGCAGCTACCACCATGGGACAGTGGTTCCGGAAGTGGCGCATCGACATCAACCCCACGAAAAGCACAGCGGTGCTCTTCAAAAGGGGTCGCCCTCCGAACACCACGTTGAGCATCCCTCTCCCGTCTAGGCGCGTCGACACATCCGCCTCCGCCATTCGCCCAATCACGATGTTCGACCAGCCCATACCGTGGGCCCCGAAGGTCAAATATTTAGACGTCACCCTCGACCGAAGGATGACATTCCGCCCTCATATTAAGACGGTACGCGACCGTGCCGCCTTCATTCTAGAACGTCTCTATCCGATGATATGTAGGCGAAGTAAAATGTCCCTTAGAAATAAGGTGACACTCTACAAAACTTGCATACGCCCCGTCATGACCTATGCAAGTGTAGTGTTCGCACACGCGGCCCGCACTCACTTAAAATCCTTCCAAATTATTCAATCCCGTTTTTGCAGGATAGCCGTCGGAGCCCCGTGGTTCGTCAGGAACGTCGACCTCCATGACGACCTGGACTTAAGAGTCCATCAGTAAGTATCTACAGTCGGCGTCAATGCGCCACTTCGATAAAGCGGCACGACACGAGAACCCTCTCATCGTGGCCGCCGGTAACTACATTCCCGATCCTGCGGACGGAATGGAAAGCAGTCGACGTCGCCCAAAGCACGTCATCTCGGATCCTCCCGATCCACTAACGGTGCTTCTAGGTACTTCAAGCACCGGTCACCGTTCTCGTCGAACCCGTCGCTTGTGACGAAGGACTCGACGAGTAAATTAACTCTCAGACACGGCCCACTGAGTTTCTCGCCGGATCTTCTCAGTGGGTCGCGTTTCCGATCCGGTGGTAGATTCTGCGAAGCACGACTCTTGCTAGGGTTCGTGTTAGCATCGTCGTCAGGTTTGAGCCCCGTGAGCTCACCTACTAGTTAAGGTTCCGCTGGAATAGCCTCTCTAGGCTACCAGCTTAGGTAGAAAAAAAAAAGAAAAAAAAACCAATTTAGGTCATAATATTACATTGTAGTCTTTGGATAGTGCTGAACATTTTCACTAAATTACTAATGGAGTTTTAGTCATTGTAGCTGTTTAGAAGTAGGTAATGTTTTGCCCTTAGCGTCAATTTTGACTTCGTTGACATTGACATCTAACTTTACGGCATGCAGCATTCTTGTAAGACACGCTTGCTAGATTGAGAGTTACTTCCATAAGCTTGGGAAAAAACTTATTGTAGAAATGTAGTATTTGTCGACTTTCATTGCTTGAATTTGTTTGTTTAAGAATGAACCACGAGAGAAATGAAATTTAAATTTATAAAATGCTTTTGTTGAATTATTGGATGTCAAATGTTTATCAATAACAAAATTTGATGCCTCTTTCCGCTAGAAATTAAATTTCTATTATATTATTCCTAATTCTTAAGAACTTTACCTTAATTTTATTGATCGCAAGTGATACTGGAACTATTTACCCAAGGGTTGCACGATCCACTACAAGAAATCTACGTAGTAGAAGCGCTGTTAAGTTTCAATATCTAAATTAAATTTAAACTTTGAGGAAATTTCATAAACTTAATCTGCCAACCCTAATCTCTCAAAAAATTTTTCTGCATTGCAAATGTATTGTAAATACATAATTGGATTCATAATGACGTGACAGCAGTTTGCTGATTATTTGAAACAATTTTTGTTATGTTTTAACATTTGTAGTGATTTTAACTTTAACAAAGATGGATGACGACGATCCCGTAGTGCAAGAGGTAACTAACTATGATCTAGTATTCAATAAACGTGGTATTAATTCAGGTTATGTTAACGTCTTTAGATTTATTGCTTTAAAATCGTATATAACGCTTCAGATACCAGTTTATCTATCGAGGACCTTAGCCAAGAATCTGTACATATATCAATATCCAGCAAGGCCCGCAAATAGGGACTGGAGTGATGTGCAGATCGTGAATGCTGCTCTTAAGCCTAAAAACCAAGTGGTAAGGCTGGAAGTTGGCCTAGACACGAACAGTGATAAGTTCTGTTCTTCCGTTGCTGAACAGATAGCAATAAACACTGATGGACATCAGGTATGCGAATATTCAGTCCTCCATACTATGTATTTACCAAATATTTAAAACTTGATTCATTAATATTTAAGTTTTCATACCCAAATCATTTAATAGAGACCATGCAATGTCATTAAGAAACAGAATTCTTATTGTTATTTAAATACAGGAATCTTCATGGCATGTAAAAGAGAAAGATAAATCATTTTATTTCAAAAATAGAATGATGGATAAAATAGTGTATGAGAGCAGCCGACCAACAGTTGACACTCGACACTATGCTGTGGCGATATTAGAGGATAAGGAACTACACTGTACTCCTTTACAAGGTAATTTAAAAACATGCACTATCGTGTAATAAAAATCAAACCTGCAAAAATTTTAATTTGCGTAATTATTGGTGGTAGGACCTCTTGTGAGTCCGCACGGGTAGGTACCACCGCCCTGCCTATTTCTGCCGTGAAGCAGTAATGCGTTTCGGTTTGAAGGGTGAGGCAGCCGTTACAACTATACTGAGACCTCAGAACTTATACCTCAGGGTGGGTGGCGTATTTTACGTTGTAGATGTCTATGAGCTCCAGTAACCACTTAACACCAGGTGAGCTGTGAGATTGTCCACCTATCTAAGCAATAAAAAAAAAATGTACATATTCTTGGAAGAGCTTATGGCCCATGTGGTATAAAGTTGTTATTAGAACCCTTAGACATCTTTCAGTTAATTGTGGCTGCCCAACTCTTCAAATCGAAACCCTGAACGAAACGAAACTCCAGAGATAGGCAAGGTGGTAGTACGTACCTTTGTGGGCTCACACATGCCCTACATAATTAAGCAAATATACTTTATGCAGGTCTGATTTTTCTCACACAATGTTATTTTCGTCACCGTAGAACTTAATCATGGATATTTGTTATGTACATTTTTCATTAGAAAAAATGGTACCTACATAATGGTACACGGATTTGAATCCTGGCACAGTCGCATATTTACGCCAAACTTGTAGAACTAATGCGGTCCCACCTTTTATACTAGAACATTTTATTGCTTAGCAGCAGAAATCCATAAGATGGTGGCATGGAATCTCATATGCTTGCAGTTGAATTTATTTGTCATTTATTGTTTAATTAATAATAATAAATTAATTTAAGGTATAATACAAATGAGGCCGTCATACACATATCATGATAAGCAAGATAAACGTAAACAAGAAAAGAGCAAGGCTGATGATCCTGAAGAGGAAGAGAATGAACCTGAACCACAACAGGTTTGTACGGACAATATAAAAAGCTAAAATATAAAACTGAGAAAATTATATCTCAGTTAGCCACCTTCAAATTGCTAACTTTTTCTAGTATGATTATTCTATTCAAGATAGATATTCTACCTAGATTATTCTATTTTAGAAAGGTATTTAGTACCATATCTAACTATTTAAGGTTGCACTCCTATTGATATTATCTAATATATAAAATTCTCATGTGGCAGTATTTGTTGCTAAACTCCTCCCAAATGGCACAAAATATTCTCATGAAATTTTGTGTGCATATCAAGTAGGTCTGAGAATCGGCCAACATCTATTCTTCATACCCCTAAATGTTAGGGGCGGTCCACCTAAAAATATTTTTTTTTGAAATAATGTTTATGGGAAAACGTTTGCCGGGTCAGCTAGTATTTATGACTATATTTTCATAGTAAATATGCCTAGTCGTAAATGGGTGGTCATTTCCTGGTGAATCCACTAGCAGCTGCACATGTTACTGCAGTCATCACACATTGCAATTCAATCTATGCTGATAACAAAGAGAATTAAAAGACTGACAAACTGTTCAATGAATTGCATGATAATTTGTCTCTTGGGACTATTTTGGGTTAGGATAGTGGGTACTAATATATTAATAAATTGTTTTTCAGGTGACTGTAAAATTTGCTCGTCAAGAAACAGATGTGGCCAAGAAAGCACGAGAGAAATCATACGAAACTATAACTCAACGTGTGACTGCAGAGCCTTGGTATGATGCGTTTTGGGTGAATCCAAATACCGATCAAGCTGAAGTGAGTGGTTAAATTAATGTCAGTGGCATTGGCCTTCTGACTAGTAATTTTTTTCTGTACTTCCTATACTTTAGGTTACATTAAATATCAAACATTAGCTTGACCTATGAAATTAGTTTTGAAATGAATTGCTTATAATCTAAAAGTGAAGTGTAAAAAATGCCCTGAAAATACCCTGAAATTTGAGTTCATAAATTACCATTTATCAGTATCAATTCAATTGACGATCTGAAGGTTCTTTTCATTGTTTTTTAGTTGTATGAAGCTTATGAATATGATTCAAATTAAGGCTCAAGGTAGAGTCGTTTTAACAATTGAACCTGTGAGCTCTGATACCGGTTTGTGGGTAGGAAAAAATGTAATCACTGGTAAATTAATAAATTTGCAGGTTTAATAAATTTTAATTACATTTTTTATTCATTATGGGAATGAAATATGTTGGATTAACTGTAGTCTCGAGCTAATATGTTTTGATATGTATGTTTTAAGTGTATGTATATGCTATAAGAATCTATTATAAAAAAATGGAATACAGTAGGTAAATTAACTTTGTTGTTCTGTTAAAATATCCTTGATGAATGAATTACAGTTGGAACGCCTCAAACTGTTCAGTCAAACTACACTTGATGGTTCAGCCCTAAGTTTGAACGCTCATGAATATATCCGGAATCTCGTACCACCACCGCCTGAAGATGAGGCGGATATAGTTCCCACCAAACGGCCTTCAGTTGTAGAGCAAATTAAGAATTTACTTTTAAATGGTGAGTTGACATTTTTAACACAATATTAATAATTTGCTAATTTTTCTTCCATGAATAATATTTGATGTTAAGTTGTACATAATACTAAGATTTTTTTGAAACTGGAAGGGATGTAGAAATGCAAAAAAAATCTATATAAAATAACCTCCATAGTCACTGACCATGAAGCATACGCCCTGGATAATAAATGACAGTAGTGTTGTAAGAAGCCAATGATTTATTAAAATATTGTCAGTTCACCTTATATCACAATACTCATCGAGTACTGTTTGGAAGAACATTAAACTGTATCAGGTTCTTTAAGGTTGGCATTATTTTTGACCACAGCTAAGTTGATGACATTAAGTGACGTCCGGTCGCTTGTCCGCACGGAGAGTGGCAGCGCCGTGAGTGAGAGCGCCGCAGTGAGCGCGCTGTCCAGTGTGGCGTGCTGCGTGCGCGGCGTGTGGGCGGCGCGCTCCGCCGACCTCTACCCGCGCGCCGGGCCCGCGCCCCCCGCGCTGCTGATAGCCGCCAGGGACCACATAGTAAGTAGTGTTAGTGAGAGCGGTGTGCTTCCCCCCCACCCCCGCTGCTAGTAGCTGCCAGGGATCACATAGTGAGTAGTGCTAGTGAGGGCGGTGTGCTCCGCCGGTCCGCCGGAGTCGTCGTCACTGGCGTAAACAATAAAACGTTCAGTGACTAAATCGACTATATGGTCACACGATGTAGTCAGCTTCAATTTTTTTTACCTTCCCGCATAATTGCGACAGTACACATAATAAATCATTTTTCTGGCACAAAAACTAAATTTAGAACAATACATACAATAATAATAACTCGTAACAAAAACTCAACATAAACATAGGGTACCTACAACTTTAGTACACGCAAGTGTAATCGGTAGCGAACGGAACGTAGACGCGGTGCGGAAGGCAAGGGTCGACTGACGCACCAATCGCGCACTCGGAACGGTGCTACGTCATTACCCACGTCCCGCTTGACCACCACAGAGACCTAAAAAACGACTTGTGCGCATCTAACAACTCTTGCCAAGTTACGTGCTGGGGACTATATCAAACCTATGCACAATTATAAACTCTTTCCCAAATATATTCATATTTGTATATCGTTTGACAGATTAAAATTTTCATATTTCAGTTGTACCTCTTCACTCAGAACACGTACATCGACCGTCGGAAGGTGACCGCGGCTGTACGCCTGCCGCCCCTAGACGTACTGGAAATAATACGTTCAGTCGCCAAATATAATCCAAGGTACGGCTGGGAGCTGCTCATACCGCCCGACGTGGAGTTCGAGAGGAAATACCCTGACGTCGTTCAAAGGCAGAACCTGGCTTGGGAGGCGAAGCAGAGGCAGTTCACCGAAACGTTGATGGGCGAAAATGTACCTAAACGTCAGAGGAAGAAGTCCCAAAGGGATTCGGTGAGCTCGGACACGATGCTCAGCCCGAAGCCGCGGTGTAATAGTGTTAGTGAGGAAGACAGTGAGCGAAAGAGACACAAGAACAAATCCGCTACCGGTAGCGGGAAAAGGACGCGCAATGTCAGTTCGGGCAGTGTTACGGAAGGGACGTGATTTGTGCTCGTTTTAGGTTATCAAATTTATAATATAGGCAGTGCCTCTGTTGTGATATCACTTGTTCTTCATCAAATTAAGTAGGAAAATAGGCCTTATTTATATATGACATTGCGTTCGCTTCCCTCATCTTTGATATGTACGAGAGAGCGTTACTACTTATTTATAAAAATCGTACGTGTCGATCGAATGCTACACAAAAATAAATATAGCAATAGCACTTGTTGTATTTTATCGTTTCAAGTTGTTTTGTCGCTTATGACGTTTTGGTTCTTATTTGTTTTTTTTATGGCTTAGGTGGGTGGTTACCGTAGCCCATAGACAATTACAACGTAAATGCCACCACACGCCTTGAGATATGAGTTCTAAGGTCTCCGTTTGTACAGTACAACCACAGCACCGGACTTGACCGCCTTGTCCTTTAGGGCACGGCGACTTCAAATGATGTTTATTAGAACTCAAACGCTGTAGCTTCAATTGAGATTATTAAAAGCTTTTTAAGATAGCCTTTAAATTGTTTGCTGGCTCCTGGTACGTCTACCTGCTATACTTTTTTCAATGTGACTGTTGGATGCAATTGGTATTGCTCTCTCTTGAATGATGACGTCATTGTACAAAATAGTGCCCTATCTCTGTATAATTAATTTGAAGCCCTTAAATACTTTGTATCGGATACAGTTGTAATTTGTTATTCGTTAATCGGCTGTATTTATGATTAGAGACGATATAAAATATAAAAACAGAAACAGGAACCTTGTTTTTATAAAATGACGTAAGTGACAAAAATCCTTCTGAGTTAGCTGTTAATTGTTAAAATGAATCTTAACACCATAACGTTTGTTGGATGTAATTTATAATAAAATGAACGAAGATAGAAGATTTTTAATTGCGATTAAACCTAATTTCCATACATTTTCTATTTGAGTAAATAAAAATCAGTGTATATTTTAAAGGTCACCAAGACTTCAGTTCAAATGTCCATTAAACAATAGTCCAAACAATATTCATATGAAATATTGTTTATAACATCAAATGAAGAAACTGGTTTAAGAAAACCTTTACCTTCCTTTATCTCTTTCATGAAGATATTGGTAATGTGAATTAAAAAATTTTAAAAATGTATTCTTCAAAATGGGTTTAGTTGTGATATAGAAATACAGTTCTAATGAAACACTGTGATAGATAATTATCGTCAGGTTAATTACTGATTTAGTTTTTAGACTGTGAGAATTTGGTTTTTTCATAGTTAATCTACGTACCGAGTAAAATCATCTCGAGTAACATTTAAGTTTTTTGTAAATTAAATTTCCAAAAATAAGAGCTACTGGAATTTTTAAATTTGTTTTATTAAACTATTGCGTATTTGGTATAGCCTTTAAAACAAAACTTTTGGTTTTTGGGTGCCGCTTATAAATTCTTCTTGTCTCTATTTTTCCAACGCTCATAGGATATTTATTTATTATATATTTATATTTAATTAGACGAAATTTGGAGAGGTGAACTTAAATAAGGTATGTGATCTATGGAGTCTCTCAAATGGCATTGTGATTTGAAAATTTATGAAACTAAAAAGAGACAAACATATACATCTATCGGATTTAGAATACTTGTAAAGGTTACATGTTACATACACCATTGTGCTTAGTGCGAATTTTTTTAATTTCGCAATCGCCTAGCTATCTCAAACTTGTATGGAGTTGGAGCAGCGCCCCTAGCGGTAAACGTAAGGAAGCTATTAAAACTCCATACAAATTTGAGTAATTTTTTACGCGATCAGTTGAACACTGGTACCGCGTGTGGATTGCAGCCTTGATACGAGACCGGAGTGTGACTAAATTTTTTTTTGTGAACGAGTCTTTTCGTCGCCATCTTGAATAAAATTATTTTGAGAAAGAACGTTGAAAGTACATTAAGCTTATTGTGTTATTGAATAATATGTGATTATTGTATATTTTTAATATATTGTTATATTATTATAGCTTGTTATCGATGTATAACCCTGTGTCCTGATAAACCACAGTATTTAAATATAGTTATCCCGATGAGGGGAAGCATAATGCATCGAGTGATCACCATTTCAAGTTAGACACGACCTTCGGCAATGAAGAGACCGACTCAGAAGATTCCGAAGAGAATTAACAATAATCCACATCAACATGAACGGCAAAATATTATTTATCAATTTTAAGTGTTGTATTGACCACATAATATAAAATGCTAATTGTTAATTATGTTTTTGGTAATTAGATAAAGTAATTTGTATGTAACACAAGTTTAAATATGATTTGAGAGAGGGTAGGAGATCCGCGATGTCAGCTGATTTTGTTGTTGATCACCCACTTTTGTACGTAATACATTGCTGGGTCATAAAATGTCTTTTTTTTATACCTATGGTGGTAGGCTTAGAGGGCTATGCCAGCGTTACCGAACAAGTAGGTGAGCTCATGGGGCTCTATGGACGTTGTTAACACTAGCCCCAGCAAGAGCAGTGCTTCGCAGAATCTACCACCGGATCGGAAACGCGGCCCACTGAGAAGATCCGGCGAGAAACTCAGTGGGTTGTGTCTGTGGGTTAATTTACTCGTCGAGCCCTTCGTTGCATGCGACGGGTTCGACGAACGATGACCGGTGCTTGAGGTACCTAAAAGCACCGTTAGTGGATCGGGAGGATCCGAAATGACGTGTTTTGGGCGACGTCGATGGTTTACCATTCGGTTCGCAGGATCGGCAGTTACCTGCGGCCACGACGAGAGGGTTCTCGTGTCGCGCCGCTTTATCGAAATGGCGCATTGATGCCGACTGTACATACTTACTGATAAACTCTAGGTCTAGGTCGTCGTGGAGGTTGATGTTCCTGACAAACCACGGGGCTCCGACGGAGGCAAGTCTCGTACGTGGTGGCAATCATATTGTGTTCATCAATGCGCTCCGGTAGCCACTTAACATCAGCCAGTCCGTGTTCTCGTTCACCAGTGTAAGCAATAAAAGAAATGTTTGTTTCCATAACATTTTATTTGAGGTTAATCCAACAATAATATACTTGAATGTACAAAAATCAACTGTATAAAATAAAATAAAACACAAAAGCGAAGGCAAAAAAACGTTACCTATAGGATGATAAAACATAACAGTAACTAATAATTTAAACATACAATAGTAGCAGTGTTGGTATGTTTTTTTAATTGTCGTCATATTTTTTATAGCACAGAAATCTAGATTGAGTAGTGTTGTAACAAGGCATACAGCCAAAAAAGAAGAAAAAAAAATTGCCATTATTGCCATTATATATGCAGACGAGCATAAGGCCTACATGGTAGTGAGTGATCACCGTCGGCACAGCCAAGCCGCTGTCTACTAATTACAATGTTTAATACACAAAAAAACTAACCAACATTTAAGTACTTCATTTAATATGTAACAATCTACTGGTACAATATATCATTTATATCGTAAACGATTAACAACTACGATAATACGTTATAATCGCAAAGGAAGTGCAATCGAATTAAGGTTTTTGGAATTAAATGTCAAACTTCTAATTTATTACGTAATGCAAATAATCATGGCTGCCCAGTAGGGTGTCTTTATTCTTTTTTTTTACCTACCTATTCGCTAGTAGTCTGGGGCATAGATTATACACTTAATGTCTGGGGTCTATTCTAGCTTCGCTCGGGCGAGTAAGGCCGTTTTCCAATTACAGCACAAGAGCGCATTATGCGGCATAATGCTCAACTAAGCTTCAGCATAATTCGGCATTGTGCATCACTGAGCCGCATTATGCTCTGTAATTAACCATTACTTAATGGTAGTTTTCCAATTACAGAGCATAATGCGACCATTACTTTAATGGTAGTAATTAACCATTATTTAATGGTAGTTTTCCAATTACAGAGCATAATGCGACTCAGTGACGCACAATGCCGAATTATGCTGAAGCTTAGTTGAGCATTATGCCGCATAATGCGCTCTTGTGCTGTAATTGGTAAACGGCCAAAGTAAGCTCACTCAGCTCAAACAAACCTAACTCACTACTGAAATAATTCAATTAATGGATTTTTCGAAGATAATTCATAAATGTGTTGATCCAAAAAAATCGTGTCATATCACCTAATTGGATAAGAACAAGACTATTTATTGATGCGATCGTGAATTTTAGCTTCATAACCGTAAAGTCTAAATTTAAGTAACCATTAATTACGATTGATACAGAATAAAATCACAGTTAAAATAAGACTAACGAAGCCAGTCGATCGTGCGGCCGCGTTACAGAACTGAAGATCGCATTTGTCTGGATCGAATTTCGATTTAACCGCCGACCAATCGCAGAGTCCAACCCAACAACCTTCAATGTTCATTGGCTTCTCGTTCTCCAAGAACAAGACTTGGTACTGTTCTTTGATCTGGAAATTTCCATTCGTAGTGCACCTGTGAGGTTGGAGGCACTAATTAGTATGGTATCGTCGGATTTTACGATTTTTGAATATTGCCGCTTGAGTTTAATTCGAGACGTCTAAAGCAGCGGTGTGCAAACTAGGGGTCGCCAAAAAATTTCTCTCTACTTTTATTTTTATTTTATTTTTATGCTTAGATGTGTGGACGAGCTCACAGCCCACCCGGTGTTAAGTGGTTACTGGAGTCCATAGACATCTACAACGTAAATGCGCCACCCACCTTGAGATATAAGTTCAAGGTCTCAAGTATAGTTACAACGGCTGCCCCACCCTTCAAACCGAAACGCATTACTGCTTCACGGCAGAGACTCACAAGAGGCCCTACCACCAGTAAACCCCGACCTACAGTAGGTAGGGGTCGTTTGTTAAAAAAAGTGCGCTCCACTGGCCTAAAGCATAAGACGACCGGTGTGTTCGTCGAGAGATACAACTGTGCCGGTGTTCAAATCTCTAAATCGGTACCAATGTTTGCTACAATTCTCACCATAAAAAAAATAGTATCATGTATTAAAAAAGTATCAAGTGTTAGCATAATTATTAGCGGTCTAGATGGTTATAGCTCCGTAAGGATAGATCTTGCCTAATTTGTCGCGAAGCAGTCATGAGGTCCTCCGATTTTTTAAAAGGCACAAACTAATTGGACTTTCGAACTCATGTCTGAAGGTGCCTGGTAGCTATAACGTTGTGCAGTCTATTGACCCCGGAAACCACATGAAACTAGATGCGATTTAAGATGAGCTACAGGTATAATATAGTAAGTACAGTCTTTGTTAAACAGAGTAACAAATTGGAGTTTTGTATACGTAAAATAATAATAAAAAAGTATTATATTGTTACGCTCTAGGGTTCTAGATTAATTATAATATATTAATTTACTGGTGGCAGGACCTCTTGTGAGTCCGCACGGGTAGGTACCACCGCCCTGCCTATTTCTGCCGTGAAGCAGTAATGCGTTTCGGTTTGAAGGGCGGGGCAGCCGCTGTAACTTATATATCAAGGACGGAATTAAGGTTGCAGTTGTCTATGGGCGCCGGTAGTACTCACGGAAGTACTAGTGAAAATTCAATTTGTATTTTTACGACGCTTTAACTTTGATTTCAATTAATAGAATTCACTTTTTCGCTTCGGTTCAGATGATGCTTTCGTTGTTTCGCTTTGAATAGAACTAACTACAAACTGCCTTCACATCGTCTGTACAACGCATTTATATCTGTTTTCTGTATTCGACAATAGATGTCGTTGCTCTCACCAACATAGCACGGTTGTTCTCGAGACTACTAGTTGTTTCGATGTCTTTTTTGATAGGAGACGATAGATGGCGTTACTCGTACTGTCATAACAGTGTAATTAAAACGTTTTTTTTCTACCTAAACTGATAGCCTTGAGAGGCTATTTCAGCGTAACCTTAATTAGTAGGTGAGCTCACGGGGCTCACGTTACCTGACTACGTTACTAACACGAACCCTAGCAAGAGCCGTGCTTCGCAGAATTAATCACCGGATCGGAAACGCGACCCACAGAGCAGATCCGGCGAGAAACTCAGTGGGCTTTGTCTATGGGTTAGTTCGCTCGTCGAGCCCTTCGTCGCAAGGGACGGGTTCGACGAGGACGGTGATCGGAAATTAGAACCATGTTAGAGGTTATATAGAGTGTAAACTCACTTGTACAAAACAGCAGCTATGTTAGCATTAAATGGGACCATGTTGGAGGAGCTCCACTTGCGGGCCTGCGCGGTGTTTGTGTGGTAGTTGTCTCCCGTGATGGGGGCCGGGTCCTGCCGCGACCCCAGCTTGGTCAGAGCCATCAGGATCATCGGGTAGTCCGTCAGTTGGATCATGGCTTTTGGTTGTTGTCGTAACTCTGTAATGACAAACATGAAGATATATATCTATATATTAATACATACATAATTATAATATATTATTAAGCAAAAACTTTGTACCCCTTTTTTTACGAAAATTGGGCAGACAGAGGAGTATGAAATTTCCCACACTTATAGTGAATATAGGAGAAGGAGTGCAGAATGTTATTTTTTTTTTAAATTGGGCATAAAATAGTACTTTAAATCATTAAGAAAGAACATTACACACACTATCACGTATTTGACACACACACATGCCTACTATTGGTTGGTTGTCAAACTTTTCTTATTGCCTAGAGTTTGTGGTCAAATTGAGAATATATTAAATATTGTTTGTCTTTATTAATATTTGTCTAAAGTGTAGTCTTGGCGAAATCTGTGATTATAGGAGTATAATGCCTTTGACAATAGAATCATAATAGTGTACAAACTTATAATTTCTATTAATAATAATTATAGTCGAATATCGACTACCAGGGGACCACTAGTTGGTTTTTTAATACTCATTCTTAATCCAATTTCACACTTATCATTTTATTTAGATGTCAGTGTGCTAAGTGCGAGTTCTTTAACGCTCTCGATAGCGTAACAGTTAACTCAAATTTGTATGGAGTTGGAACGTTTGCCTACGTTTGCCACTAGAGGCGCTGTTTCGACTGCATACCAATTTAAATTACCTTTACGCTATCAAGAACGTTAAAAAACTCGCACTAAGCACACTGTATCCCTTTATGTTACTGGTAGGGCTTATTGAGAGCTTGTACGGGCGGGTATCAACATTGCAATCATTCTGCTGCAAAGCATGATGACTGATTCCGGTCTGAGAAGTAGAACGGTTGTACAGTCCTTATGTCTGAAAGAGAGTTCGTTCATTTCGTCTTCTCGCATTAAAACTGTATAATCTCAAAACTTACTAATTTTACAGAAGAGGGTTTTAAAGGTTCAACATGTGATATTTTTAATATTAATCATCTTTGCAACATAAATTTTTGATTTTTTTACCAATTACATTATCTGTCTTTTAAAGTAAGATATTTAAAATTATGTATTAATTTTGTTAATAGTACTCAAAAAATAGGAAAACTAAAATAAAACCTAAAACTATATACGTACAACGCTCTTTTGACAGTATTTATGAGAAAAATACTGCTGATACCAAATGATTGCACATATTAACTCAATTTCGAATATTTAAGGAAATTGTACACTTTTGATGCGATAAGACGATTTGTAAACGGGTCACGTTCGCGTTAAAGCTAGCTGTACTTGTATTAAAAAACCCCTAATACTTTATGTCTCATATCTTACATCAACTCGTTTTTACCATCGCACCGCCCGCCACAGGAGTAGAGTTCATCCATACTACCTGGAGCCACTGCGGTCATCCACAGTGCGCTTCCAGAGATCTTTTTTGCCACGTACCATCCGGCTATGGAATGAGCTCCCCTCCACGGTGTTTCCCGAGCGCTATGACACGTCCTTCTTCAAACGAGGCTGGTGGAGAGTATTAAGCGGTAGGCGGCGGCTTGAGTCTGCCCCTGGTATTGCTGAAGTCCATGGGCGACGGTAACCACATACCATCAGATAGACCGTATGCTCGTCTGCCTGCTCGGAAAATAAAAAAATGTAGATATTAAATGAATTGCCGGCTCACCCCGTTCAGCGTGGTTCTTGAAGAAGTCAACCATGTCCTTAATAATGCTACAGCCGATTTTCTCACTGACTGTGGATCCGTAACCGTATTTGTAATAAGTTTCCAAATCCTCGGCGTACTCCAAGCGTTTTAAGTCTTCACGCGTGAACGCCTGGAATTCGTAGAGTTAATACGAGTTAAGTAATTAAATAGGTTTTAACAGGTCTAATTAGTTCGAACCTTCATTTTTTTTATTGCTTTGATGGGTGGATGAGCTCACAGCCCACCTGGTGTTAAGTGGTTACTGGAGCCCATAGACAAATACAACGTAAATGCGCCACCCACCTTGAGATATAAGATCTAAGGTCTTAGTATAGTTACAACGGCTACCCCACCCTTCAAAACGAAACGCATTATTGCTTTACCGCAAAAATAGACGAGGAAGTGGTACCTACCCGCGCGGTCTCATAAGAGGTCCTACCACCAGTAATTAAGCAATTTATAATTTTGCCGGTTTGATTTTAATTACACGATGTTATTCCTTCACCGTGGATGTCGATGTATTTGTTAAGTAGGTATTTCAATCAAAACACGTCATTTCGGATCCTCCCGATCCACTAACGGTGCTTTTAGGTAACTCAAGCACTGGTCTCCGTCCTTGTCGAACCCGTCGCTTGCGACGAAGGGCTCGACGAGTAAATTAGCCCACGACACAGCCCACTGAGTTTCTCGCCAGATCTTCTCAGTTAGTCGCGTTTCCGATCCGGTGGTAGATTTTGCGAAGCACGGCTCTTGCTAGGGTTCGTGTTAGCAACGTCGTCAGATTTGAGCCCCGCGAGTTCACCTACTAGTTAAGGTTACGCTGAAATAGCCTCTCAAGGCTATTATCCTAGGTAGGAAAAAAACCGCAGATAAGTAGTAAAAGCTATAGCTTGGTTTTGTTATCTAACACTTACAGCGCACCAGGGCGAGATCTGCGTCACGTCCCAAGCCTTGTTGTATCGGCACATCTGGTAGATGCTCAATACTGTGTTCTTCTGTAGGTCATAGTTGAAGCCCAGCCTCAGAGAAACGTTCGAAATCATCTGGTTATCAAAAAAAAGAAACATGCAAATATTTCTTAGAAACTTTTCATAGATTTTCAGTTTGCAGTTTATTATTGCTTAGATTGATAGACGCGCTCATAACTCATTCGATGTTAAGTAGTTACTGGAGCCCATAGACATCAACAACGTAACGGTGGGACAGCCGTTGAAGGCATATCTGAAACTTAATATATACATATTATATAGTATAGTATGTACATATATATAAATTGAATTTTGAAGTAGCGTTTGTAAGATCGATTTTAGTTTGTAGCTATTTATTTATATATACGTGGTATGTGTATATATTTGTATATATTTATATGTATGGGTGCACGTGTATATATATTTTAATCGATAGGTACACCGCGTGTAATATGTTTCCTAATGATTTTTGTTCATCTGATTTTTGTTTGGAACAGATCGCTTTTAGCAACAATTGTACTTTTTTGTATGTTATATTTAGCATTTATCTATTTTTGTATAAAATAAATCATTCTCTCTCTGTCTCTGTCTTTCTCTGTCTCGTCTCTCTCTCTACAATTACCTCTTTATATTCTTGCTTCGATTCAAATATGTTTTTCTGTTCTAGAGTCTTGTTGTTCTCGTCGACTTGGTTCTTCCAAGCGTCGCAGTACTTGAGTGGCTGGAATACGACGATTTGACATAGAATATGGTTAAATAAATCGAATCGGGGTGAAAAGCTATTTGGAATAAGCGACATTTTTGTAACGTTATAGGAGAACCATTTAAAGTTTTTTTACTGGTGGTAGCACCTCTTGTGAGTCCGTGCGGGTAGGTATCACCGCACCGCCTATTTCTGCCGTGAAGCAGTAATGCGTTTCGGTCTGTAGGGTAGGGCAGCCGTTGTAACTATACTGAGAGCTTAGAACTTATATCTCAAGGTGGGTGGCGCATTTACGTTGTAGATGTCTATGGGCTCCAGTAACCACTTAACACCAGGTGGGCTGTGAGCTCGTCCACCCACCTAAACAATAAATAAAAAAAATCTACCCGTGTGAGCCCTACAAGAGGTCCTACCACCAGTAAAAACCCTTCGATATGATCTATCAATACGGCGTCTAGCAATAACTTCGGAGAACTCAATGAAGCCGGATGCAGCCGTCGATTCTGATACTAGTACCCGGATAAGAATCCTACATTTACAATTGACACTTGGACCTCATGTGTGGTGGCTCCGGCACACACTACACGGTTATCAGTTACATAGCACAGGTCATGAACGTGATGGAGTATTTATGTTAGTTAAAAAAAGGTCAACATTCAATTATTATTCGAGAGACTGAATGTTCTGGAACGTTTAAAGACAGACGATAAAACGAACACCCATAGACACACACAGCCCACTGAGTTTCTCGCGGGATCTTCTCAGTGGGTCGTGTTTCCGAACCGGTGGTAGATTCTGCGAAGCACGGCTCTTGCTAGGGCCAGTGTTAGTAACACTCCCGGTTTGAGCCCCGTGAGCTCACCTACACGTCAAGGAGAAGCTGAAATAGCCTCTCAAGGCTATTAGCATAAGTAGGAAAAAAACGATAAAAGATTACTAGGTACTTTGACAACGAGAAATAATAAAAACTAGTGGTCCCCCGGTAGTCGAAATTCGACTATAATTATATGGAATTGTAAGTTTGTACACTATTATGATTGTATTTTATACTTCTATAATCACAAATTTCGGTAAGGCTACTCTATAAAAAAATATTAATAAAGACAAACAATATTTAATCTATTCTCAATTTGACCACAGACGTCAAAAACAAAAGTTTGACAATAGGTAAATAGTATGCATGCGTGTGTGCGTAAAATACATGGTATGTAGTGTGTGTAATGTTTTCTTGATTAATTTAATGTATCTCTTATGCATTATTTAAAAAAAATATTAGCATTGTGCCCTTCTTCTCTATATTATCTATAAGTGTGGAAAATTTCATACTCCTCCGTCCGCGCAATTTTCGTAAAAAGGGACATAAAGTTTTTGCTTCACGTATTAATATATAGATAACAAAAAATCACGTTTGTACCTACACTTCATTGCCAACAAAAGCAGGAATGCAAAACGTCATATTATGCTTTGGAATTTTTAATGCATAAGACAACGAGAAGTTAATTTTCTCGTTATGACACGTAGGTAGTTTTAAGAAACGAATATGAATGTTTCTATTCTACGCGTACGAAGATAATTCAAACGATTGTGATGAAACTTTCTCCACTCTAGAGAATGTTTCTGTTTTTTTATTTATTGTCTTTGTAGACAGATGAGCATACCTACAACCTACATGTGTGGTGTGTGGTTGCCGTCGTCCACGGACATCAGCAATGCCAGGGACAGAGCTAAGCCGCTGCCTACCGTTAAGCGAACGAAACTATTATTTAACGTATTTAGAATACAACATTTTACAGTTAAAATGTAAGAAGACTGTAATTTTACATGTTGTAGTGTTGGCGCGTTTTTTGGTTCAATACCACAGACTATAAAAGTGTATAGATAACGTTTTCAGTGGCTGTACGTAAAAGTAAAATCCGTCACAGTATCATTAAGTTACGACAAGTAATTTTTTAATTGATAGCCGAAAGTGATCGATATTAAGGAGTAACTTATAATACTCAAATATTAACAATACCCTTAGCAGTTTTTCGTCGTTCTCTTTGGGTGCATCGAAACCTTCGTTCTGGCCTCCGAATAAACTTTCCGAGAACGCTCTAAACGAGTTGCTAGAACGTGGTTCTTCGACGAATTTGAACTGAAAATAAATATAAAGTTTTATTTACATAACCGTACCGCTTAGAATACGTAATTATTATTTTTTTGTTTCAAAATCTCTGTGCTTTGCTTGTCATTGCATTCTATATGTTGAAGAACTACTAAAAGACATATTGTGTCTATTATATTATATAAATGCGTCCACATCACACGTTTCCAATCGACTGAACGCGATTACTTGTACAGTATTAGCGGTATTTTATTCTTTTAAAAACGCGTCTTATGCATAGCACTGGCAGCGCGATCAGGGGACCAAGTCGTGCCTTTGAATCAATTTTTCCATTGATTTTCATTTGATGTACACAGGAAATATGAAACGTGCGTATCGCGGTAAGAGCCCGTCGAATAATATTGCGTGTTAATTTAAAAAGCAACGAATAGATTCGTGAATACCGTACCAAATAGTTGTAAGTGTTCGGCGTCAATAGTCCAGGGAACCGCTGCTTCCAGGCCTGTGCCAACTGCTGCGTCGTCACGTATCCGTCGCTGGTGAGATCGCCGGCCGTGCTGCTGTTCTGTTTCCAGTTCCATCGTTCCAGCAAGTTAAAGTCGGCCGTGCAGATTCGATGCTGAAATCAATGATTCACATATTGTTACGCCGGTAAGAGTAACGCCATCTATCGCCGAATAGTCGAACGAATATTGAAGAACCTAGTAGCACCTAGAACGATCGAGAAGCACAACGCCATCTATTGTCAGATAGCGGAAACACATTACTAGAGATGTGTGGAATATTCTCGATAATTCCAGGAATGTGGTATCGGCTATAAAAGCGTTGCAGGGATAGCACGCGCACACAGTCAGTTTGTAATAGGAACTACTCGAAGCGAAACAGCGAACGGATCACCTGAAGCGAAGCGGAAGAAGCGAATTGAGAGTTTTAAAGTGTTTGTTGAGCGTTTTAAGTGTTCTAAGTGTTGAATACAGTTTTTAGTTGTACTTTGGTGAAATTTTATTTATCCCGAACCCCAGCGCGTAACAATATGCCTAAAGAATACACTTGCTATACATGAGATGGAAAAATGTCGTGGTTTATTTACAAGCTTTTTATCATCACTTAGATTTTATATTGAGTTAAGAGTTCGAGCCATAGAATGCCACCGTCTATGAGACGTGAGCCTTTGGACCGCACGATCCTTCACGGTTAAAACTGTTAAGCGTATATTATCTATGCTGCACGCACTGATGCGAAAGCTATTAACGGGCTGAGGATTGAACTTCAGTATAATTATGATATTATCTATACCTACAGTCACAAATAGTGGTAGAAGACTTTAAAAAAACAACAAACGTTCCAAATTCAATGGCACATAGTGGCCGTTTTGTCCTATGCTGTGAATACCGGAAACGGACACCGACTATCAAATGTTTTTAACAATCGAGTATGAGAATTGAATCCTGACAACGTTGTGCCCTAATCAGGATCAATAGCCACTAGCCTAACAAGGCGATCAATTTCTTTCTACCTTTAGCCCCACGTCTCAACGTGCATAATGGCAGTTTCGTGTCTATAAGCTACTCTGAACTATTCACACAAGATGGGAGGCGAAGTCTTCGGTCTATGGTCTTAGTTTTTGATCACGTCTATGCCACTTAGTTTCTCGCCGGATCTTCTCAGTGGGTCGCGTTTCCGATCCGGTGGTAGATTTTGTGAAGCACTGCTCTTGTGTTAGCAACACACTCGGTTTGAGCCCCGTGAGCACACCTGCACGTCAAGGAGACGCTGATATAGCCTCTCAAGGCTATCAGCATAGGTAGGAGAAAAAATAGTCTATGCCTTTATAAGCTAATGGAGATATATTGATATCGTTCGTGGTAGTGTTTATTGTTAACACGATATTACTATAAAGGCCACTTTCGAATTTGTTTATTTTATCAATGGCTTTTATCTATCTATCTCTTAGGTTTATGGCGTTTCCTTTTAGATTTCGCCAATGTCAAGTGTATATAATACTCTGCTTTCTATAGCGGGCTTCGTGAACGAGCAAAGTCACAGATAGTCACTAAGAATTAAGTGAGTAGCTAAGAATGTTTGATGGCTTTTAAATCGCACGCAATGAAACACAATCAAAAATATAGTGTCGCATATAGTGTCGTGTAGGTCGTATATGTTATTACGAACACGCGAGCGGTTGCTACCTACCTTCATGTTGTATTGCGAACTCAATTGAAAATACTGAAACGTGAAATCTTCGTAAATAAAAACACCGTAAAAAACGAATACTAAAATAATTTTTCAATTACATATTGTCGTGTTTATTTATTTTATGTTTGCAACTACAAAAATTAAATGCATTTTTTAACGAAACTTATTAAATTATCTCTATATATAAAAATGAATTGCTGTTCGTTAGTCTCGCTAAAACTCGAGAACGGCTGCACCGATTTGGGTAATTTTGGTCTTGAATTATTTGTGGAAGTCCAGAGAAGGTTTAAAGGTAATAAAAATAACAATTTTGTTTTCCCTTTGATGTCCCGCCGTCGGACGGATTCCTTTTGTTTGTGTCTTTTATTTATCGATTGAGGCACTACGAAGTCTGCCGGGTCAGCTAGTAGCTTATAAATTTTAGCTTCAAGGCTCACTATCATAGTTGCATTTTATTTAAATTTCGTTCCGACGATGCTTGGTTTCCTTATCATGGATTCATACGTGCGTTGTTTCGTAATGAATTTGCCGGAAACTCACGGCTGTGTTGTTCGTATTAAGGCTCCAAAAACAAACGTAGAATTTATGTACCTATCCTTAATGAGCTATTAGTGACTGGTAAAACTCGTAGTTCGTTGACCCGGAGTGAAGAGTCTAGAACATTGGCTTAATATACGAGTCATTACATAACGGATTTTAAAAGTTTCTGGGTCTATTGGTGATAGGGAACAATGTAAATTACCACGACTGAGGTTCGACAGTCTACCAGTCTACGTACCAAAATAAATAATTGAAGCTTCAATCTGTGTCTTAACGTGGTCAGTGGCATATATTTTTTTTATTGCTTAGATGTGTAGACGAGCTCACAGCCCACCTGGTGTTAAGTGGTTACTGGAGCCCATAGACATCCACAACGTAAATGCGCCACCCGCCTTGAGATATAAGTTCTAAGGTCTCGAATATAGTTACAACGACTGCTCCACCCTTCAAATGTTGGTGGTGTCTACACGAAACAATGTGTGTAATGTTTTCAATCTTATTGTAATTTACAATATGATGATTCTTTGAAGCTCGATGGAAGAACGACATATGAAGTTAAAAAAATACCGTATTAGACTTCGTTTCAGAGATGTTTTGAGGTTCACTGTGAATGGCCTTAATAGTTTCAAGTTACTACTTGTAGAGGAAGCCTTGATTGAATCTTTGGTCATATGATGGTTTGGAGACGATAAAATAATCTATAAAACCATTTAATAAATACTAGAATTTTAGGTTTCGAGAAAACGAAAAGAACAGAAGAACAGAAAGAACGAAAAAGAAAGGCGACTAACTTAGCGACTATCTTAATCAAATATGAATAAGATGTACTTAGTATTTTTGTAACTTACATTAGTGTTCCTGAAGTTTCCATTCTTGTAGTTCGTGACGATGTTGTTCTTTAGATCGACCAGTTGTTGGAGTTCAGCAGTCTCGTTAGCTTCAGGGTTATGCGAGCCGTGACGACTGAGGAGCCAAAAGGCTACGGGTTGGCATCCTGCCGAGAATATTGGATTTTTTTTTAAATATTGTTTTGTTACAGTCATTTAAAGGTTTTTTTATAGTTAGTTTTTTTTACTGGTGGTAGGACCTCTTGTGAGTCTCAGCGGGTAGGTACCACCGCCCTGCCTATTTCCGCGTGAAGCAGTAATGCGTTTCGGTTTGAAGGATAGGGCAGCTGTTGTAACTATACTGAGACCTGAGAACTTAAATCTCAAGGTGAGTGGCGCATTTACGTTGCAGATGTCCATGGGCTCCATTAACCACACAACACCAGGTGGGCTGTGAGCTCCTCCACCCATCTAAGCAATAAAAAAAAGTTTGTTCGTATTATTACTATTTTAAACAGTTTTTATACGTATTCCACAAAAATAGTATTTGGAGCACAATTATTGGAGCTGCAGAGAACATATCGACCTAAATAAGATAGGATGGCATATATTTGGTCAAATTTTACAGGCAGGTGACTAGTTAAAGTGTTTAGGTCATTACAGTTTTTGAGGGTAATAGTCTGTTTGGAACACTGGTATTCCTGGCTACTCCAGTTTCTTCAAGCTTCCACCAGGTAACATTAGAATATCCTGTGTGCTTCATTATTTAACTAGTTTTAGATTTTTGGGAGATTATCGGTATGTATCAGGTGGGCCGCATGCTCGCCGTAAAGGCATTTTAGAATATAATTACTAGCGATTATATTGTTAGATTTTAGTAAAGCCGTAGTAGGTATGTATGTTTTACAACGAGTTAAAAATTAAAAATCTAATTCACAGTCTTGAATTCAGAGCGATGATTTGTCATGTTACTCAATAATTGTTAACGGTACAGATGAGTCATGGTCTCGAGTAGGACGACCGATATACGTGCAAATTGACAATGCGTGTCGTTATGTCGACAAATGCAAATATGTATATAATTCAAGTCGAGCTTGGCGTGGTTAAGTACACTAATATTCAGCGTGTTAATCAAATTCGCGAAATAAAAAAAGCTACTAGCTTAAACGTATAGAACATTAAGATTTGTTCTTTTAGTTTTAGTTCAAGTGAGCGCGCAATGTAACGTGCGGGTACGCAGGTAGCAGCCGCACCAGTTTTCCCCGCGAGACTAGAAGTTCGTCACTTGATTTTTTATTGTGTTTCATTGCGTGCAATGTTAAAATAAATGAAATAGAAAATAGTCTTTTTAGTGTAATCGTGTTAAGAATGAACGCTAGTAGGTACAGGATTAGAGAATAAAGTGTCCGCTGTCAAAAGTCGTTAATCTCGAATATAATAACATCTCTAACTAAATAAGACCTTACATGATACGACCCAGGCTCATAAATCACGTCATTGGTAGATAGATCTTCCCACAGACACAGCCCACTGAGTTTTTCGTCGGATCTTCTCAAATCGTTTCCGATCCGATCCACTGCTCTTGATAGGGCCAGTGTGAGCAACATCTCCGGCTTGAGATTGAAATTTAAAGGATTAAAAAGGCCGTTGATCGATTTTAAAAGTAAAGTTGTTTTTAAAATTCTCTTAGCCGTAGTAACTAGTTCCGTTTTTTTAGGAAAAGCCGAAGTCACATTTATTTTATATGAAAAGTATAATGGACCGGATTGAAATGAAATTGATTCATCTGAAATCGATTATGGGGTGAAATTGAAATGAAATCAAAAGAGACGAGACGCGATGGTAACAGATGTCGTAGCGAAATAGTGCGAATTTAGTGAGAATCCAAACCAAACTTTTTCGTTAAGCCCGGATAGGACGCGACTAGCGATTATTTTTCCATTTACTTGTACTTTCACAGATGCTAAGCGATTAATAAGTCAGGCATATTATCTATATGTTAAGAGCCTGAAGGAAGATTAATTATTCAAATAAAACAAGTCACATAGCTTCGGTTCTCGATTTCCCGCCAAAAAGTCCCAAATTCTCTGTGGCGGGTAGCCATCATACAACGCAAGATATTCGACAGATGCCTGAATCTCGCTTACGACATTTTAAAGATAAACTTGCATTTAAACAAGTTTCGAACAACAACATTTGGACTGTCGGTCTATCGAGCAATATCGTTCGTTGGAAAATCTTCCCTTTGTCGTATAACTCCAAACTGGTGACCTGCGGCGGAACAATTGCAGCCTTCACACTTCATCATCAGCGCATCAAGAACTTCGAGCACCACAGTTTCTGCATTCTCGCAGCTAAAAACAAGTCGTTCGCGCTCGAAGTCTGCGGTGAGTCGAAACTTGTTTAAACATATTAATTATCATGCAAGATTATCTTGAAAATGTCAAATATCTTGCGTTGTATGATGGCTACCGCCTCATTCTCCATCGGTTATTTCGATAAGAAACATAGTAGATTTATTATAGGATATTATTGTATAGAGTAGCATAGGGTATAATAGAGTATAATTATTTTTAACTATAATTCAAATCGGCGGGAAAGTGCATGAGATGCAGCCTCGCGCGGGAACTGGGTCGCTATTATTGGAAAACTGTCACACATAATAAACGAGGCAGCAAAATTGTGCCCTGGATGTTGTTTTAATTAAAAGGGTATTGTTTTTATTTAACAACAAGCTATTTTAATTTATGCAATGTATTCTACGTAATAAGCTATTAAGTATTAGGGCAATAAAACCCCTGTCGGTTTCCTGAGTAAGCACGGACACAGCACTTTAGTTACAAGAGAAGTTAGTGTCGTGATTTAAAAGAAACTAACAAATTTTAGAGAGTATTATGACAAATGTTGCCTTCTTTCTTCTTTACGAACTCGTACAAGATCCACTGTTCCCGGTTATTGCGGGATATTTTAACTTAGACAGAACAACGCGTGTTTGGTGCGTGCTTTTTCTGTGTAGCTATGTTACAAGGCACATTTAGATTAATAACAATATTTTTATTTTAATAATTCATTAATTACTTTACTACTTTTAGTCAGTAAAAAAATCCTCAGCATTAAGAATTAGTACATCCAGTACATCCAGAAAAATAAAATAAATAAAAATTTAATAAATAGACAAAAACATAAAACATTGAATACTATTTTCTCTTGTGTTTGTATTTTTTTTATTAGTATCTACATATGTATTGAGAAGGTTTAGCTATCAATATATTTATTGGAAATATTAAGTTTCTGTTTCAAAAACGACCAAATAGTTGAAATAAAATTTTGTTCAACTGATTTTCTTAGTTTATCATGTATTCACAAATTATGAAATAACATTAAGATTAGGAAACAGTCAGAAAATAAATCTAAGTCTCAAGTAAGTCAATGTTTGGACGAATTTCAGTTCATACAGAATCATCATGACAAAAAGTATAGCAGTGATATCTCTATATATAATATCATATTTGTTGTTTATTAAAAGCACACGCAAAGATTCAGAGTGAATTAATCAACAATCATTTTTTTGCCAAAAAAGAATCATTTTGCTTATTCACAGCATAATTTTTGTGAAAACGGCGTGGCGTGGCGACCACAAAAAACAAAACATTGATGCTCTAGATTGTTGAAACATTGTTGGCTGCATTAAGGTTGAAGACCCCGTTAATTTTTTTTGTATAATAGAATCTTTTAAATAAATTTGGGGCTTTTAATATTTTACTGGTTCGGCTATTCAGCCGACAGTTGACCTCTTGTGAGTTACGCGGGTAGGTACCACAGCCCTGCCTATTTCAGCCGTGAAGCAGTAATGCGTTGCGGTTTGAAGGGTGGGGCAGCCGTTGTAACTATACTTGAGACCTTAGAACTTATATCTCACGGCGTTTCTGTCGTAGATGTCTATCGGCTCCAGTAACCACCTAACACCAGGTGGGCTGTGAGCTCGTCTACCCAACTAAGCATGGCATAACACAAGGTCCTACACAAGTATTCTATAGTGAAGCAGTCACCTCACTTAAGAGTCGAGAAAATTATACGATTAGCATCAGTGTCAAAACACGAAATGTAGGTCTGTTTCACTCTAGTGCTTAAGGTCTCAAGCTTTTGAAATAATAATACAATGTTGCCAAAGGCATGTAACGTGCGTAATACAAGAATTGCTCGTTTAAAGGTATAAGATAACAATTTTGTTTTTCCTTTGATGTGTCCCCGTCGGACGGATTCCTTTTGTTTGTGTTAAGTTTATTGTATACAAAAGTTTAGGTCTTTTATTTCTCGATTGAGGCACTACGAAGTCTGCCGGGTCAGCTAGTATATTAATATAGATTCCTCGACTTGTTACGCTCAGTCTTACTTATTTCACACACTAGAGGTTAATATTATATTTTGCCATAAACCGTGGCACATAACGTTATCTATGAGATCAAACTTGCCTGGTACTTCATGTGCCTTAGCGTTTGGGATGCCACGATTGGAGAAGATGTACGCGGTCTTCGTTCCGAATAGCAAATATGGGTCCTCTTCAGACGTAAGGCAGATCTCGTCGGCTCGAGCGCACAAAGCTGCCATCAGCAGGATGAAGGCACACCGCATCTACAAGGCATTTAAAGTAAAGTGGTTTTTGGCATTTTAGGTGAAGCAGTAATGCATTTCGGTTTGAAGGGTGGGGCAGCCGTTGTAACTGTACTTGACACTTTAGAACTTATATCTCAAGGTGGGTGGCGCATTTACGTTGCGGATGTCTATGGGCTCCAGCAACCACTTAATACCACGTGGGCTGAGAGCTCGTCCACCTATCTAAGTAATAAAAAAAACGTGGTAACAACCACTGGAAAATATAGCGGAATAAAAATTAATCGCGCCGAATTTAATGGCTTTAGGAACCGTCCTGTAGGTATATTTCTGCACTGGAGCATTCATACGTTCCGAATTGAAGGGTAGGTCGGTTATTGTTGCAATACAATTGGTACTTCGATATCTTGTTTAAAGTTAGATGTGGCGGGTAACCATCATACAACGCAAGTTTTTTTTTTTTTTTTTTTTTTTTTAGGAGGAAATCGCCGGACTTCCGCCCTTCACTGGGGATGGAGGGCGGGGCATGTCGGAGTCGAACCGACTAAAACCTCCTGTCTCTCAACAACCAACGTCCAAAGCTCGCATGAGACAAAAGTCATGAAAAGGCAAGGGGGGCAAGTGAAGCGTTTAGTGCGGAGCACATCTCTCCCATCACCCTCCCCCTCGGGACGCCGGACTGGCGGTCGTCGGCGCCACGACCACCAGCCCTCTCGGTCGGCAGGCTATCCGAAGCCCGCCTAGATGGCGCCGGTTAGAATGGTCTATCCTACGGAATACCCCGCTGGGTCAGAACCAGCGTGGGTTGAGGATAGCCGGCCTTCCATCACCCGGATGCTCATGCATAAAACGCGTGCAGAGCAGCTTGCACGTCGTCTTCTTAGGCCCCCTTCGCCGGTCCCCA